TCCGTCTTCGCCCCTTTTGCTGAGGTCCCATTCGAAATAAGTGCCATGCAACGTCCCATGTGAAACATTGCCTCGTCAAAATGCTCTTGGGACGTCGAACAATTATGGAGACCATCGGCTAAAGCAGCTGAAACTCTAGAAGGGACACCGTTTCTTGTACAACAAGCCACAATCGCCACTGCAGTGCAAAGTTGTTTCGGTGAAACACCATGCCGTGCCGATCCAAGCTCTACCGCCGTTTCCCATACAGCTTCGTCTTTTGAAGCTGTTGCAGCTGCGGCGATCGCTGAAATAAGAACGCGAGGGGCTCGTTTAGAAACAAGTTTCGCTATTTTTAGTGCTTCACACCACTTCCCCATGGGGGCCAAATATCCTACAAGACTTTCTGCATAACGGTAGTCAAGATTATTTATAGTACTACAAGCTGCTAGACATTTTGCCCATGTTGCAGAAAAAGGGAATTTGTTTTCAAAGAGTACCATTTTTAGGAACAAAAGGTGCGTTTGTATATTTTTGACCGGTTGCGTTTCATAAAATGTCAACGCTTTTTCCCATTTATTTCCTTTTGAAATTGCAAGGAGTGCATGGTTATGAATTTCAGCGAACTGAAGTTCATCGGAAGAAATCATCGGGGGTTTTGCTTGGTAAAGTTGCAGTATTCGTTCCCATTGATTTGCTGCGTTTAATAGTGGAATTACTTTTCCAACTGGAATTCGTTTTGAACTTTCAACTTTTCCATTATAACGTTCCACAATCTCAAGCGCCAAACACCAGTTTTCTGGAGTTGATGAAGAAAGAAAATGTTCAACAGAGCGCCGTGGTGTCGCTTTCCCACCGCTATGATTACTGTAAGCTTCTAAAAGTTCTTTTATTCGAACCCCAATAGATTCTTTACGTGTAACCCCGTACTGAATTGCAAGGGCTGTCGTTACACCGACCAAAAGATGTTCATCCTTTATCACCACTTTATCCTCAAGATGTGAAGCAATTTTACAAGCCTGACGCCATCCATGACGTTGTGCGTTCGCTACTCGTTCCACCATATCTGCGAATCGAGTGCGGGGTAAGAGACGCAAGACTTCCTCCCAATGACCTGCAGAAGCTAATCCCACACTTACATTCACACGATCATCATCTGCAAGTGTCCCTTCGCAATGCTCCATTTCTCTCAATAGTAAAAGCGGAGTGTTTGGGCTTAACTGTGAGAGTTGAGGTGATTGGAGAAGGTAACGATAGTGTGCAGCACGCATAGGAACCCCAGCAAGTCGAGCTTCCACAAGGCATTGCAATTGTTCTAAACCGAGTTTGTGATTCTCCTTCTCAGAAACTAAGAAATCATACGTATATGAGTTACTCGCAGTAGCGTAGCATGTCAAAATCATTTCCAATAATCGTGATTTTTCTTCTGGAGTACCATTCTTTAACATTTCCCACCGTACACGACGTAAGAGTGACAAACTGCCTTCATTAATAGTTTGCCCTGGAGGGCCCATCAAATGTACACGCGCCAAAGCCTTAAAAATACCAGCCGCATCTCGAGATTGAATATATGGTGATGATGACAAGTGGGTCCGCAGCGCATTCACCCATGACATGGTACACACTCACACACTCCCTGAAACATTTTGAAAAAGAAA